TCTACAATGTTCGCATCGAGAGTATGCTGGGCGGTTCTACGTACCGTCTCCACCCGCAACCAACAACTGCGTCAAGACCCAGTTCAAACACCTTCCCAACCTATTCTGCTCACTTCGTGGTTTTTCGACGAGCTCTAAAAGGATGCCCATGGCTCCGCTAACAACCGTATTGACGTAATAAGATGATTCATTATACAACCTTGAATTAAATTGAGCGTGCAAACCAGTGATAAATGTGCAAATTTCAGACTAAAATGGCGGAGGAGGGTAATCTTGACCAACTCTGTCTTATCACAGGTCGTTTTTTTACAATGTTCAAGGTCTTCAAGGTCAGGGGCAAATTCAGAGATTTGTCCAGGGGGTGCCCAGTTTTTTTCAAAAGGGGGGCTCAGCACCTGTTGGGACCTGAAAACCTCCGGAAAACTATAGATTTTACTGGTCCAGGGGAGGGGCTGAGCCCCCATAGCCCCCCCCCCTATATACGCCTCTGAACAAGGTAGCTCTCCAACTCATCGTAAGAAAGCGAACCTTTCCTATTTTTGGCAACTGTTAAAATCTTAAAGAAGGAAATTTCATTTAAAAACTATTTGATGGCGACCAGTGGCAGAAACGGGGAATCATTAGATGGCATAAAAACTTGATTATCAAAAAATATTTCGTTTATCTCCATATTACAAGGCGAACAAATGTTCCATTGTTCCACCCTGAATCTGTATCCGATGCCGATAACTGATTTTGTGGTTTGTGTATGTATGTAATTGCAGCACAGAGAAATACGGGATATCATAGATAAAACTAAAATATTTCATGTAAACCAAAAACATAAATTTTTCCAGGATGTGAAAGGGAATTGGGGAAGAATCTTCTGGAAGCTTGTGGAAACAATCTTGAAATGGCGGTCAATATGCATATGGAGAATGGTAAGGGCTAAATATAGTCTATCTTGAGCTAACTCAATATGAGCAAGTAAACTCTGTTTAAGCTATAAACGCGATTAAAAACCCGCCAGTTAATTAAAATACAGCCAGAAAAAAAAACTGTTTTTTGAGCGAAACACTTAGCATTGCAAATGTTGCAAATGTTATCAACAAAAAAAGTAGTACTAAATCTTGTTCAGGGGAAGGTGAACCTGCTCCTGTAGGTCCAGGAGTAGCACCAGGTTTAGCTCCAGGAGTAGACCAGGAGGAGGATCCGATTAGAGCTCCTATACCACAACGTCAGGTCAGAGACCTGACCAATTTTTTTTGCAAATTTGTAAACCTAGAAATAATTGAAAACATTTTTTTGGTTTTCAATAATTTTTTTTAAGTTTTCTATATTGAATCTTTAACAGTTGTCTTTTTTGTCATTTTTCAAACCAAATTTTTTTTACTTAATTCTTATTTTATGTTTTATTACTGATGTGATCCTTTAATGGATAAGGAGGATTTTATTGCGATTAGCGAAAAGACTATATTGTATATTAGGACATTTTTCTGATTTGAAAGCCGTCAACTTATGTTCTATAGGATATGTTTTACCAAATAAAGCGTACATACACATTTAACAACTTCTGGCCCACAAACTAAACCATTGAACATAAATAGAAACGGAAGAAAAATCAGTATTACATTAGACAAATCTGTGAAAATTTATTATCTTTGCTTTAAAAATCAAATAAAAAGAACCAACAATGTATCTGTACAATCTGGGTTTGAAATTATATCACTTACTAACTGAAGTTCCCGTGCGTTGCCTGTGGAAGTAAAAAAAAATTTAATTGTATCAAAAAATAATTTTTAAATTTAGCCTATGGTACCCCCAAGGCATAGGTTCCCTAAAATTTTTTAGCTCATTTAGTCAAGCCGTTTGGCCAGCTATAGTTAATATATTATATATGAGAAAAGAGCTTTATTTTATATTTAACATCTTTTTATTTAAAATTGTTTTTTTAAAGATAATTTCAAAATTGTACAAAACTATTTTAATAGTATTACATTATTTCAATTGTTCCCTGTTTGGGATTCTTGGGGCCCTGAGACCCTCCCGGCCTGGCTTAGGTTAGACCCTTGTACAACCTGGGGTTTGATCAATTATATCAATTATAAAGAATTAACAATGTATTTAGGAAACCCTTATACAACCTGGGTTTGATCAATTATATCAATTATAAAGAATTAACAATGTATTTAGGAAACCCCTGTATTACCTGGGTTTGATCAATTATATCAAATATAAAGAATTAACAATGTATTTAGGAAACCCCTGTATTACCTGGGTTTGATCAATTATATCAATTATAAAGAGTTAACAATGTATTTAGGAAACCCTTGTACAACCTGGGTTTGAAGGATTTGAGATGGCCGGTAGATCAAACATGAACAACAGAAACAGAGTTAGAAGTGTATTCGACGGATTCAGGTAACAATAGATACACGCCACACTGATCTGACTACAGGGACCGTCTAAATTCTAATTCATCGGTTTAAATCCTCATGAATCTTTAACTTTGAATCTATGATTCAAGATTTGAACCGGCGGTTCGTAGTTCAGCGAACCAGCTCAAATTCATTAGATTCGGTCACAGATCACAGAAATATTTTTAGTTTATCGAACCAAATGTAAATTTTAACAAAATAAGACGAATTTTTTTTAATTACATCATGTCTGAAGTTTCTACATCTAGTACATCCATTATACAAAACTTTATTAAAAACTGATTATGTTTTAAACAGGGGTACATTTTTTGAAAATATTTTTCTTGAAAATAATTTTTCCAGTATTTCTACTCATATTTGCGCAAAACTTTATTGAGTGGTTTTACTGTGAAAATCGGAAAAAATGCATGGAATAAAAAGATGGGGTAATTGCCATTGAAGTCGAATTATTCATTAATAAAAATCCATTTAAATTTATGTAAACATCGTCTAGGAATTTCGAGGCTGAAACCCTGCATCGTGAGCAGGATGCAACCGCTGAACCTCTTCCCAGAGGATATAATCCAAACAAAAAGAAAACCCTGGAAGACTTGTTCAAACCTCCTTTAGATATCATGTTCCAGGTTTCTTAAAAAAAAATTCTTTGCCAATTCATTTATTATTCTTTAGTGGTTGGTTGGTTGGTTGGTTGGTTGGTTGGTTGGTTGGTTGGTTGGTTGGTTGGTTGGTTGGTTGGTTGGTTGGTTGGTTGGTTGACATGTATAGTTTCATTACTTACAAAACCTTTTCAAAATGATGTTTAAATGAATTTAAGTGTTTGTAAACATATTAAAATTGGTTCTAATATAGTTGCTTTATTTAAGAAGAAATTAAAGGATAGTTTTAATTTGAAGAAAAAGCAGGGTTGCCTTTATCAATCGTTCAAACTCGCAACTCTGGAACTTTTTATATAATAAGTATAAAAGATTATATATTAGGGGGACTGGCAGAGTGCTCGAGATAAAGCATCAAATTCTGGTCGTTGGCTTCTTGTAAATATTCAGGAACCAAAAGAATTCCAATGTCAGGTTAGAATTTTGAGAGATTTGATTTACAACGCTACCTTCAATCAAATGCGCGAGCCATAATGATATCCTAGTTTTTCTATCTTAAAATTAATAATTCTTAATTGTGATTTCTTTACTAATGTGATTTGCGCATTTATGCATCAGAGATATCTATAACATTTGCAGAAATGATCAGTTTTAGATAAAATAAAAGACGATATCTTCCAAATTTTTATTCTGATAGTGGTTTAAATGCTCACTTCAAATTACGTCTACAGTGTTCACTTCAAATTACGTCTACAGTGTTCACTTTAAATTCCGTCTACAGTGTTCACTTCTAATTACGTCTACAGTGTTCACTTCTAATTACGTCTACAGTCCCTTAAACGAGCCGGCTGATAAATCTCATGTATTTCATAGAATTTTAAAATCCTTCCTTATAAAAAAGTCTCAGTTTAAATTTTAAGTAATTAAATACATTGTCCTCATTTCTTTAAAAATTGTTTGGCTGATATTAAACATTTTAAACTTTTAATTCTCACAAATTAAAATTAACCTAGTTCAATGTTTGGGAATAAATGATTGATGAACATTAAAAAAAAAGATTATGTTGAACTGAAATTAAACTTTTAAATCAATCAATAGATAATTGAGTAAATCATAATAAACCAATCAATCAATCAACCAACCAATCAACCAACAAATAAATCAAATATCAATAAATAAATAAATCAACCAATCAATTAATCAATCAATCATCTTCCTTATTGTTGAAG